ATTGTTTTCAGTTATTTACTATATATTTATTATTTTGTTAATTTTATAATATGTAAAAAAAAACTTAAAATAAGAAATATTTTCTATGTTTCTATATTAAATACAATTAACTTTACATTTAATTATATTTCAACTAATATAAAAATAAATTACAAAACAAAATTAATAAATTCTGTATTGAATCGAAAAAGACTTATTTTGTAACAAAAATAAGTTTTATATTGTGACAATTAATATGAAAGTGACGGATTAATAAGTAAGAGTAATTTTTACATATAACTAGATTTTGAACCCGCACATCCGTGTGGGTAATCTTTCATTTTTTAAATAGAAAAATTTAATATATGTTAACAATTTTATTTTCTATAAAATTTATTACATAATTTACAAATTTTTAATCTTCTTAAAAAGTAAATAATATTTTAGTCACTTAAATGGTGAATGATATTTTATTTCTTTATTTAAATGATTTTTTTAAATATTAGTTTACCAATTAATTATATTTTTATATGTAATTCATTTATTATTTCTATTTTAATATAATATAGACTATACTTATAAAATTTATAAAATTGGCATATAGTATATTATATTTTTTATAATAAAATTTTAATTAAGATTAATGTATAATATTATACTACTAATTACAAAATTAATCAGTTCATTAAATAAAAACTATTTAAATTTTTTTTTTTTAAATTGTTAGAATTTTTCTAAACAGATTTTGTGATTACTAACTAAAATTTAAAACTACCGTTAAAATAGATTTGTTATTAATATCTTTATAATTATTTAAAAATATTATACATTAAATAAAATAATGTAATCAAAATAATGTAATTGAATACATAGATTTAGTATAACTATTTTATAGTAGATAAAAATGGTATTTTTCTTTTAATAGAGAAGATGATCAGCGAGGTGAAGACTGATCTTAAACTAGTTTTACGTACTATTTAATGTAAACTTGAACTTGTTGAAAAACAAAAAATGTGAACTTGAAGTATCTGTTTGATAAAAAGAAAGGCGTCGTAGGTGTCGGTTTCCCTTGCGTTCTCCGCATTTCCATGCTCAAAGTCTTCAACTTTTGGCATATCTTTCTGAACACAGAATGTCAAAAATTGATAAGTCGCTTCCTGTCTTTACCAAAGTTCCCGCGACGTTGTAGTTAACTTTTAATGCTGGATTATCGTTTATGTCGGCCAGAAACACTTATGACCAGATGGTGGGAATTGTCTAAGTCGTACACAGTGAAACCTCTGTCTTGATTGGGACATTAGGTGTGGTGATGATTTTAACAGCAATGTTTTCTAACGTCTGCACTGTAAGTATTTGATGAAATGCCTAAATGAGGAGTTAATCTAAAAAAATGGTTTTACTTAGCTTTGCAACTTGCATCAAATAGAAGTAACTTTCAGCTCTGTACTGTCCTTGGAGATTTTCAAAAACTCCAAAACTTCTTTTCTTTGTAGAAAGTTGACTTGTTGACTACTACACGCTATTCTTTGTGGACAGTAAGATGGGAGCAATTTCCACCTCTGTATTCTTTTTTTTTTCGACTTCTTGTTTCATTGGTTGAATATTATTAGTTTTCATTGACTTAAAAGTGAACATGGTTTTTCCATTGCTTATAAACCAAGAACATCCACATGAAGTTTTGCTCATATAGAATATATCTTGTACAGAAATAGGAAATAGAATATGAGGAAGATGAGTATGGTTTTATTTGCTTACTCGCTCTTACTAATCATCTTCCCATCCTATGGTTATGCAGCTATAAATACATCAAGCCCTTTGTCAATAGGACAAACTCTGAGCTCCCCTGGTGGGTTTTTTGAGTTAGGCTTCTTCAGTCCTAACAATACCAGTAATGTGTATGTTGGGATCTGGTTCAAGGAAATTGTTCCTCGGGTCGTTGTGTGGGTGGCTAACAGAGATAAACCACTTACAAACTCTGCAGCAAATCTCACCATCAGCGGTAACGGGAGCCTGGTCTTGCTTGGTGGGAAACAAGAAGTTATTTGGTCAACAGGAGAGGCTTTCACATCCAACAAGTGTCATGCCGAGCTTCAGGACTCCGGAAATCTTGTTGTTATTGATGATGTTTCAAGAACAACTATATGGCAAAGCTTCGAGAATCTTGGTGATACTATGGTGCCTCAGTCATCATTGATGTATGATCTTTCCAGTGGCAAGAAGCGCGTGTTGACTTCGTGGAAAAGTGACAGCGATCCATCTCCTGGGGGCTTCTCACTGGAGATTACACCACAAGTCCCCTTGCAAGGCATTATAAGACGAGGCTCAATGCCTTACTGGAGAACTGGTCCATGGGCAAAAACAAGATTCACTGGGTTTCCACAGTTTGATGAATCATATGTGAGTCCATTCAGCGTTGTCCAGGATTTAGCAACTGGTGCAGGATCTTTCTCTTATTCAATTTTAAGAAACTTCAATCTATCGTATATTACTCTAACACCAGAGGGGGAAATGAAGATTTACTGGGATCAAGGCAAAAGATGGATGCATCACGTTACAGAACCAGAACACTCATGTGATATATACGGTGCTTGTGGGCCTTTTGGTTTGTGTGTGAGATCCAGTACCCCGAAGTGTATATGCGTGAAAGGATTTGTACCAAAGTCAGATGAGGAGTGGAGAAAAAGCAACTGGACGAGTGGGTGTGTGAGACGTAAACAGTTATCTTGCCAGGCAAACTCTACTCTGAAAACGCAAGGCAAAGATACAGACGTTTTTTATCGTATGAACAATGTAAAGACTCCGGATATGCACCAATTTGTAAGTTTTCTCGACGCAGAAATGTGCTACCAGGGTTGTCTAGGCAACTGTTCTTGCACAGCCGTTGCCTATATAAGTGGAATTGGATGCTTAGTATGGAATGGGAAGCTATTAGACACAGTTCAGTTTTTGTCTAATGGAGAAACTCTCTACCTCCGTCTTGCACGTTCGGAATTGAGTAAGAAAAGCGTTTAATTGTTTTTAGTACATTTTAAAATTTCAACTTTATATTATAATGTTCTGTTTTCTGGTGAATATCTTAGCTGGAAGCAGTCGAACCAAGATTCTAGTAGGTTCTATTGCAAGCCTTTCCATTATTGCCATCTTGGTCTTTACAGCATTTATGTTCTGGAGATACAGAGGGAAACAAAATGGTGAGACACTGAAAAACTTATCAGTCACTCTCTTTCCTTGTCCCAATATTTTGTTCTTAAATAGTTTTACACTAATTGGTGCAAGATGCATGGAAGAATGAGTTCGAGCCACAAGATATATTAGGCGTTAATTTCTTTCAGATGCATACCATACGAACTGCCACCAATAACTTCAGTTCCTCAAACAAACTTGGTCAAGGTGGATTTGGTCCAGTGTACAAGGTATGTGATACTCTATTCTATTTTATTCTCCTCTGTATATTTCTTATTCTCCGGATTTATCTGAGACTATTCTTCCAGGGAAACCTGCTAGATGGGAAGGAAATAGCCGTTAAACGCCTTTCTAGTAGCTCTGGTCAGGGTACAGAGGAGTTCATGAATGAAATAACATTAATCTCAAAACTGCAACATAGAAACTTGGTTCGTCTTTTGGGATACTGCATAGAAAGGGAAGAGAAGCTATTGATTTATGAGTTTATGGTGAACAAAAGCCTTGATATCTTTCTCTTTGGTCTGTACTTTATTCCATTTTACCTTTTCCTTTCATCATATGATAATAATTGGTGTGTTACTTGCCACTAATATATTCTATGTTATTCGCTAGATTCAACTCTAAAGCTTGAGATTGATTGGCCAAAGAGATTCGACATCATTCAAGGTATTGCGCGTGGACTTCTCTATCTCCACCGTGACTCACGCCTTAGGGTCATTCACAGAGATCTGAAGGTTAGCAATATTCTTCTGGATCAGGAGATGAACCCAAAAATATCAGATTTTGGATTGGCTCGGTTGTTTCAGGGAACACAATTTCAGTACAGCACTCAAAGGGTTGCAGGAACTTTGTAAGAACATGTCTTCAACGAAATGCTTAACAAGGATTCATTCTTTATCATCCTATATTAACAAGTTGGTGAAACTGTTTTATATTTGAACAGGGGATATATGTCTCCTGAGTATGCATGGGCAGGGTTATTCTCTGAGAAGTCTGACATCTATAGCTTCGGAGTTCTGATGTTGGAAATCATCAGCGGAGAGAAGATTTCAAGGTTCACCTTTGGTGATGAGCGAAAAGGTCTTGTTGCATATGTAAGTGAATAATTTTGATTCTCTTCAAGTGCAGACATTTCTAGGCAGCATTACATATTTCGTCTTCCTATATTCAGGCTTGGGAATCTTGGTGCGAGTCCGGGGGATGTAATCTTCTGGATAAAGATCTTAGTCATTCGTGCAACGCATATGAAGTTGCCAGATGTGTTCAAGTTGGTCTTCTCTGTGTCCAACACGAAGCTGCAGACAGACCAAACACTCTTCAAGTAATGTCTATGATTACTTCAACAACAGATCTTCCAATTCCAAAGCAGCCAATATTTGCGGTGCAAGCTCAAAATGTTGAAAGTTCTAACGATGGGTCAACGTCTAAAGATCTTTTTTCTGTCAATGACTTGACACACTCTGGGATCCAAGGACGATAAGCTCTTATCATATATGCTTCAGTCTATCGATTCATGAGCCTAAGATTTTGAGATCTCACATTTTGTTATTGTTAACACACAGTGCTTTGGTGAATAATGTTATTAATTGGGCATCACAATGATATAGTGAGCATTTGTTTTGTTGATGTCATCTTCTCTTACATGGAAAATGTAATATATTTCGGTTATTTGGTGTGAATGGAGAGATTGTGATTTTTAGAGGCCATGTGGTCTATGAGTTACAAAGAAACTCTAACATCAGAGAGATCGTTGAAGATTATTTGGAAACCGAACATAAGTATTGTTCTTAGTACGTTTAAAATATTTTTTAGTTTCTTGGCGATGTTCTTGTTTGCTGCACCATATGTTAACAGTTTACTTCTCTGGTGCATATATTAGATGGTAGTAATCGAATCAAGATTACCATAGCTAGGCACCGTCAGCATTTTCATTTACATGATCTTGGTTTTTGCTTATTATTGGTTCTTGTGGACATGCAAAACGAAACAAAATGGTGAGACACGGAAACGCTTAGCCTTATGGTCATCTATAGAACGTAAATTGCTAGAAATCTGGTATTAGCGCTTGGATGTTTGCTATTCATAGATTCAACTCCTTTTCGACATCCACAGAGACACCACAAGACGCATTGAATTGGAAGAAAGAACTGAAACCACGAGATGTATAATTCTGTGAAATGCAAAACCCAGTCTCTCTTTTTTATACTATATTTACATCACAAGTTTACAACCTCCAAAGAAAATATTTTCTGACCTTCTAAACAAGCTAGCCTTCCAAAACCCTGTCTCTCTTTTTTATCTAACAAAAATTTACAAAGACTTATTCAAACCAAAACCTAAGAGCATAACTTATAACTCTTTTTCTTCAATCAAGAAACATGAAGAAACCAAGTTGATTGGGATTAGCCTCAAACCAAGTTGATTGGTATTTAGCGTCAAACCAAGTTGTTTGATTCACTTGAACAGAGCCATCGAGACTCCAGAGTAGTCCTCGTTACGGTAACGATGCCTTTTATGCAATGGGGCTCCTGGGGCTTCACTCTCATAATCATCGCCATCACCTAAACCAAACGGTTTGTCTAAACCGAATCTGCTATGATGGAAAACAGAGGTTTTCCGAGGTGTACTATACGCGAAATGTGACTTATTTGCAATTAATGTCTGTAAATAAAAACACGCACCAATTAGATCACCATCAAGGAATGTTGGTTGTATCATGAAATCTACTAATGAAGTAATGATCCCAGTTTTACTTACAGCTTCTCTTACTGTCGTTGAAACATGAAACAGTTGCTTCAAGTCTTCATGGTCGACTCCACAGATAATCCTCACCTGTAATAAAAATCACAAAAATTCCCTCAGTAACTCTAATATGAAATGGTCAACGTTAGACTTGCTCAAAAAAAAAAAAAAAAAAGAAATGGTCAACGTTAGACGTCAAACCCCATATATGCAATTACTAATACTATCAAATGATTCAAATCTCAACTAACTTACTAGAATCGAAATATTATAACAGAATAATCTCATTACGTTTTTAACATTTAAATCTAATTTGATATTCAATAAATTAACATAAATCTCAACTAACTAACATATAGCATAAAATAATAATAAAGAAAAAGAGAACTTGTGATGAAATCAACCATAAACTAGGTGTTTTGCCCGCACTTGCGGGCTTAATAATTTTACTAATATCTATAAACAAATATATAATCAATTTAAGTAGATTATAATAAATTATTGTGCATACACTCAAAACATTTAATAATAATCTAAACAGAATCTTTCTATATATAAAAATTTTCATCATTATATAAATAATTATCATTTCACAAATTAAATGTGAAATTTTCATAAATTTAAAATATTTAGTAATAATTAATATGTTTTCTAGACATAACAAAAAGAAGTATAATAAAATTAACTTTAATAATGTTTTGGATAACACAATATAAATTATCTATACATATATTTTTTGCAAAAAAAAATTTCATAATTAAATATATATTAACAAATATAATTATTTTTCAAGGTTAACTAATAAGGATAATTATCAAATAAATGAAAAATCGTTTTTAATTTAAATTAATTATATATTAACAATATATTTATTTTTCAAGGTTGATAAACATAATATAATTTTTTTTAATAAGGATAATCATCAAATAAATGAAATTTGTTTTAATTTATAATTAATTATATATTAATAAATATAATTATTTTTCAAGGTTAATAAAGACTTTATAATCTAAAACTATTTTATATTTTTATTTATGTTTAATTATATATTAAATTTTTTAATTATTCATGAAGGGTATAAACGATATTAACCAGTCTAACTTTTAACGTGAGAGCTCCGTTGCGAAAAATCACTTCGCAAATAATAGTATAGATATAGATTTTAATTATTCATGAAGGGTATAAACGATATTAACCAGTCTAACTTTTAACGTGAGAGCTCCGTTGCGAAAAATCACTTCGCAAATAATAGTANTATTCATGAAGGGTATAAACGATATTAACCAGTCTAACTTTTAACGTGAGAGCTCCGTTGCGAAAAATCACTTCGCAAATAATAGTATAGATATAGATTTTAATTATTCATGAAGGGTATAAACGATATTAACCAGTCTAACTTTTAACGTGAGAGCTCCGTTGCGAAAAATCACTTCGCAAATAATAGTATAGATTTTGAAAAAAAAATTCGTGTGGCGCCAACAGAATCTAAAAAAAAAGTTTCAACTTTCATCTCAATCTGATAAATACTCTGTAAACCCAAAAGAGATCTCAAGCTCATGAATAAAACCCACGAATCAAAATGTGATGAAATTAACGAACACTTCCTCATTTCCAATACCATTTTGAATCTCAGAATAACAAAAAAAGGTTTAATCTTTCAGCTTAAATCTAAAGTTATTAACATAACCCAGAAATCAAAAGAAGATTAAAAAAAAAAAAAAGCAGAGTTAGTAAAGTAACTAACCAGAATATCTAGAGGAAGATCTTCAAGCTCTCGACTTTGACCACCTGTAGCCGAAGTTTCATCGCATAGCTTCTTTGATGAGATTTTTCCTATAGGTGAAGTGCAAATCCAATCACCAATCCCTGAAATCAGAACCCTCTTCCTCCCAAATCCTCTCTTGTACTGACCCAACTCTAACTCTAACTCTAACTCTAACTCTAACTCTAACCCTAATCCTCCTTCTTCCACACCACGACGATGCTTTAAGTTCGATATCTGGGCAACGATTCTCTTCTTCCCCAATGCCATTTCCGCTAAACTTGATAAATAACCAAAGATTCTTACTTCACGGTATCTGCCTGAAGATAAGAACTTCTTTAAATTTAAGAGACTCTCGAAACAGGGAAACTGAATAAAGCAAGAAACGAACCTATACACAGTGAGATTTGTTGATATATGCTCAAAATGTCTCCAAGTATGTTTGATAAACGAAGAAACTGAGAAAAATGAGTGATTTTTCTTTTTCTTTTTCTTTTTTTTTAGTTGTGACGAGGAGATTTAACTCACTTGTACTTATACCAGAGATATCATCTTTTTTACTTTTCAGTCAAATTAATTTATATTATAAAACGAGAAAACCCCCGAAACTTCCTTATGCAAAAATAGGTAAAAATATCTTCATTTTCTTTAATTTTAAATTTGCTTGCCTTCCTTCTCCCTCCTTTCTTGTGTGGGTGAGCAAAAGACGACTCACAAAACTAGCCGTTGTGGACTACACGTGCAGAACTCTGAGTCGTGGAAGGAATTAACGCCTGACGTGGCGACCAGTTATTAAGATTCCTACCAATAATAGCACAGAGGAATAAAAATTGAGTTAATTTGCGAAAGTACCCTAGTTCTCACCTTCAATTAGGGAACTAACCCTGATATGACAGTTTCTTTTACTCGGACCATTTTACCCTTCCGTGTCTCGATATACTACTCGCTTAGACTCACGCGCCTACGGGTAGCTGTGTCAGAGCGCCTCCCACGCTTGTTTTATTTCCCGTCAACCTTTTGGTTTTCCAGTAAAATCTTTTGCATGCTTTATATTTTGAAATTTGAAATTATTCATTAATTACGGTAACTGTAAAAATTTATCCCACCACTCTGAATAGTAACCTCCCTCTGCAATTCAACTTCCCATCTTCCCACTACTTTCAATCTTCGGTTTCAAACTGAAAAACTTCCAACTTTCTTCTTCCAAAACCTCCGATGTCCAATCTCAACCTTCCTAGACGATATTTTGCTTGTGGTGATGAACCAGTAGGCGACAGAGTTGTCTCTTACCACAAGTATCGAAGAACAGAGCAACTAATTGAAGCCTTAGACGAGGACGAGTTAGCATTTTTCCACCGAACTCAATTCTCGAAGGTCCTCTCTCTAGATGATAATCCTCCATTTTCCGGCGCGTTCTGTCACTTCGTC